GTATTCCCCTATTGTTTTATTGAAAGTGTAATGACCGTTTAACCCCGTTGAATAGTTGAGTTTCCCCGTTTCTAATATTGTATATCACACTTTATGATAAATCTCGGGGATTCTCGTTAACTCTCGTAGTCTGTTCACTTCAACTGACTCTCATAAAAAAAAAATATGTTTTCTTGCTGCAACACGACTGTAATCTTGTCAGGAAAACAGGATTAATACGATAAATATATCATTGAGAATATTCACAATTTTTTTTTTGGTAATAAATACATATCTTAAGAAGCTAATCACATTGTATAAAATTACGTCATTTCAAATGAAGCAAACATTAATCTAAGTAACTCCACTAATTTTCGATAGCTTGGTTTAAAATAAATCTTTATAAATGAAAAAACTTTCTTGAAGCTTTCATTTTAGCTTTAATTGAAAGCTAAATGATTAAATTTATCATTTCCAATAAGTAAATTTTAAACAGAAATTATATTGATTTGAATCTATTTTTTTCTAAAATATCTGATTAGCGCCCTTTCTTAGTCGTCTTTCATTGCAAGGTAATTCTCTGTATTTAAAAATATTCCAGAAAATAAAACATACTTTCCTGAAACTTTGAATGAGGAATATTAGCTGATTTAAAGTATAATTTGAAATGTATTTAAAGTATGATTTGAAAAAAAAACTATTTACTTTAAAATAACACAGAAATCTATTTTTAAAACAAAACTGTAGTTGTGTTTTTAAACCGACATCAACATGTTTTACATAATTGACGAGGCGATGACAGATGGTGGCATAATTATTGTTCTTCTACACATAATTTAAGAAAATGATGTTATATTTTTTAAAATACACAGTAATCTTTAAAATCTTGGAAAATATTCTTCGTAATCTAATTTTAGGAATGTTGACCTTAAATTTACTATAGAACTCGATTTTATTTTCGGATAATGTCTGGTATGGTCGATCATACTTTCAAAAATTTGCACGTTACATAATATTTTATATATATATAAAAATTAAAAATATTTTAAAAAATTTTGATTTTTATTAAGCTTTTCAATTTTTGATTAGTAAATATAGTTTTCATTTAATAACAATATCACCTAACCGGATGAAAGTAATGCAGAATTTTAAAAGATTTATATGATATAAATTATTATAATTAATTTTTTTTTAAATTCATTATTCATTGATTTATTTAAAATAATAGTGTCCTTAATAAATCTTATTTAAAAAAGCAATTAAAAGCTTTTCTAATTAAAAAGTTTGATAGCTTTATTGCATTATTTTTTTTTTACTTTAACGATTCGGGGCAGTATTTCAGGTAATGAGTAGTAGTTTGAAAAAAAAACATTGATGATTTACATTCTCCAAGGAATCATACTTTTAACTAATAAAATAAATTTTCCGGAGGTAATTCAATTAAATTGATTAAATAGGGTTGGGTAACATATGTAAAAAAAAAAGTTTCACCAATATTTTCTAAAAAAATGTATTCCAAAAATAATTTAATTCATTTATGAATAAGTCTTTCATTAATATCCGACAATTATTTGAATTTTGCAAGGATTTCAAAATCAATGTTTTTCACTGGAAAAAGACGCTAAAACACTAATCGTAAATATTACGTCGACCGCTGGAAAAAAAAAAAAGATTTTTTAAGCAAAATCTCCAAAATGCTAGAAATGATTATATATTAATAATATAATTAAAACTACTTTCTTCTTCCCTCTTAATAATATAACTTGATATAATTGACGAGAGCACTCTCTTTTTATTAAGTTTGCGTTTTTTTTCCTCATGCGATGCTGTTTTTTTGCATCGAAAAGATGGAGGTACCTACATTAGTATGTCCATAATCCAAAAACGTACCGAAATACTTTTTTTTACTTGATTATTTGTTGAAAATATGTCAGTTATGAATCATGAATATCATTCATTTCGTTTCGATTAATTTACACGCCCCTTCTCAAGTATATACATGAAAATCAATGAATCAGAGGCTATATCTTGAATTCATTTATTTACCCCATATTAACGCATGTATAGTTAAGGGTTGCGATAAAAAAAATGTTACAGAAACAAATTAAAATAAATATTTGAAAAAAATATAATTCATGCGAAAATACCGAAGAAAGATAAAAGAACAGCAGACAAGAAAAATAGTTCCCTTCCAATTCTTTCCTTTTCAGTCTTGGGTATGGAGAAAAATGACATCCTGCAGCAAGGCTTCTTTTCTGGAATGGGTTTTTGGGATGCTTAAATTCCTGTAGTCGGGGCACAAAAAAAACCCTCACAACAGTTTCCGTGAAAATAAAAGCAGGAAAGGCAGAAGGAAGCCACGTCATGTCGGTGGGGAATGGACTGGAGTCAAGATGCCAGGTCAGGATCGATCACATTACAGATCCTTCTTTGGATTTTGTCATGAATCTTGAGATATACAGCAGGAGAACCAGACTAGATATGGCAACATTATTCAATGCATGGACGATTTGTAATTGTTTAAGATGTATTCTGACGAGAACAAATTTTATGGTACGACCTAGTGACCCAACTTTCCCTGCAGTAGAGGTATTGATTCGATATAGTCGTTCCAATTCAAGTCAGGGGAAAACGTGAGGCCAAGAAAACGCAACGTGTTGCTCTCCTGGAGTCTAGGGTCAGCCATGCCGATGTTAGTATGCAGATGACACCATATTGATAGCACTCAGGGAAAGAAAACTACAAGAACTCCGACAGAAGGTTGTGAAGGAAAGCGAGAAGAAAGGACTAAACATCAATTGCAATAAGAAAGACTGTATTGTTGTTAGCAGAAGGAACAGTTCAAATTACAAAGTAAGTATATCAGAATCAAGCAAATAGAAAAAAGTAAAAGGCGCTTGCTTACCAAAAGCGAAGCAAATTATTAAGAAACGAGAAAATATCATTAAATACAAATAAAATAATGCTGAACTGTTACGCAATATCAGTCTTCCTATATGGCAGTGAATTCTGGACAATCTCCTTAAAGATGAAGAAGAAACTTGAAGCAAAAGAAATATGGTGAAACAGAAGGATGCTGAGGATACCATGGACCGAACATGTGAGAAATGACGAAATTTTAGAGAAAATGGAAACAAAAAGGAAACATACATAACATTAGGAACAAACAATTCAAGTTTCTAGAGCATATATAACGAGGAAAAGGGGCTTGGAAAATCTGATACTCACAGGGCAGATTGAAAGCAGGAGAGACAGAGGAAAACAATGTATAACATACTTAGTGAGCAAGTGAGTAAATACATGGCTAAACATGTTTTAGAAGTAACAAAAAGACAAAATTATTAAGAGCTACAAAAGACAGAAAATTTTGGAGAGCCATGATCGCCAACATCCTATTCATTGTGCTTTTAAGCAAAGTATTAAGATACAAAAAGCATATTAGAAACAAAGAAAAGAGTACTAAACTGTTATGTAATATCCGACCTCTAATATGACAGTGAATGCTTGATAATCTCCTCCCAGATGAAAACGAGATGAGACCTGAGGCAACAGAAATATGGTTCTATAAAGAATACTGAGAATGCCATGGACAGAACATGTGCGCAACGATGAAGTTTTAGAGCAAATAGAAACAAAATGGCGCACTCAACATCAGGAAAAGCCAGTTGAAATTTCGAGGTCATTTAATTAGGAAAGAGGGCTTGTAAAATTTGATACTCACATGACATATTAATGTCAAGAGGTACAGAGAAGAGTGCTTTACCTATATAACAAATTTGTGTAAATGTATCGCAGAAGAAAGTTTACGAGAGATAACAGATAGATAAAAATTTACTAATAGCTATAAAGGACAGAAAATGGCGGATAGCTATGATCACCCACGTCCTGAAGGGGCAAGGCAGATAAACAAGGGGCAGTCCTGAGGAAATATCACTTCATTGCGTTTGGTGATAGTTCGGGGTCCGATCAGCGATGAGGGAATGTAACTAGCTTGGCGTTCGAGGCATTGAATGTCACCAGCCAGTTCCAATCCCCAAAAAGCTGTTAGAGCTTGGTCAGAAGAGAGATCAGCTGCCAATGTCTGGTCATCTAGAGTTTTGCAGGTGTATTCATATATTTTTGCATCATCAGCATAGATCTTCACAGCAGAATAGCAGAACAAATCAAATATTTTTTACTAACAAATCACCCACAACAAGTCCCAAGAGCCACTCAAGGCAGAGGGTTACTGTTGAGATGTTGTGAGTTTCCCGCGTGTCGGTGTATGAATCAAGACAAACACAGTTGTAGAGGAAAATACTGGTATATTCATAAAAGCAATTTACAATAGAGTGATTAATAGAACGAAGGTTGGTTAGTACGAAACAATATCCAAAGTCTATAGTCCAACGGTATGTACCGGGTAACGTTATCTGGACTGCTGACGCTCTCGCCCTGTCTCCTCTCTCTAGAGCTGACTTATATAAGAGGGACCAGTCCATTTCTAGTTAGAAGGTGGGTGCACCCCAACAGTTACTGAGTGAGATTGTAATGGAGGGAAAGTGGGAGAGAATTATGCCGATGAGTAGGATAGATATCAGTTATTCCTGGACTTACAGGCTTACGGCCATAACACGTTGAAACAACGCTTTTTGTATGATCACCGAAGTTAAGCAACGTCGAGCCTGGTTAGTACCTAGAAGTCCGAGGCAATTTTTCTAACTCCTAATTTACGTCAAGCTCCCAAATATTTACAAGGATTAGCCTTACATAGTATATGTCTGAGCTACCAGTTAAAGATCTAGTTCATTACAATCGCAATTGACTGGAGGGCGAGCTTGCTTACTCCACGGTGAGGTGAGCATATATGTTATTTATACAAAAGTGGAACTGTATATCAGGATTTAGTATTCTTCTGGTAATGTTTGTTTCTTTAGTTCCGCGGCTTACTGTTGAGTCTCGTTGACGCTGACCGTTCAAGAACTTTGGAAATCCGCCAGTGTAAATTTGGAGATCGTCCAGGTAACAAACTATTTGTTGTC